ACACTCTTACGGGTCGTACAATTCTTCTTCTTATGCCACTCAATTAAGGTGGCGTGTATGTGGGAATTTCTTCTTAACACTCACAGTTCCCCATCATAACAACCTATTATTTTCTCCTCTTTAACACTCCTTAATTCTTTAATGCTTATTCTTCCTTTCTCTTTATTCTTAGAGTGTTTTATTCTTTCTTTCTTTCTTTCTTTATTCTTTATTCTTTTATTCTTTCTTAAGTTTTTACATATACACAATTATATGCATATGGATGGCTCATGCTTAAAATTTCTTACTTAAATGTACTTATGAAATGCACATATGCAATGTTGCACAAAAGTAAGGTTTCTACTCAAACTTATACTTCTCTTAGGCATTTCATCAAACAATACTTGTGCATAAACAAACTCTAATTTAATTATCATTCAATTTGTTTCTCAACCATCCAAAAATGAGAGAAAATCTCTCTTATAGCATCACCATACCTACACGGCAAAGACACTCCCAAAAATTTCTCCAATTCTTCCAATTTCAACCCATCATCAAACCATCACATACACTTCTCATATTCAAATATATCCAACAACAAGCATAATTCATCATCAATCTCATCTCAATTTCTCAATAATCATAACATATGCATACTTAAAAGAAATCTCTACTCACTTGAATTCTTAAACTTTAACTTGAGTTGGATTTTGAGTGGAATTTACTTACCTTATGATTGAGTATTCTCTACTAAACTCTCTACTCTTGTTGGATTCAAAATTTCTTATAACCCTAAGCATAAACTTCATAAGAACTCAACTTTTACACAAATAAATCATAGATAAAGAGCATGAATTCTTACCTTTTGAAGTCTAGAATCAAAACCCTATTAAAAATCACTCAAAAGCACTCAAAATCCTTGGAGGAGTGAATGAAAATTTGAGAGAAAATGGAGGAGCAGTGTGGCTGTGGAATGAAGGAAATGAGGGTTACAAACCCTTATCATCTTATTTTATAAACTCACTTTCCCATTTTGCCCTTACACTTTTGTGGAAATTCCATCCTTGTCCCTTAGTCAATTACCATAATGCCCTTATTTTTATTTTATTCTCTATGAAATTTTATCTCTTTTCACTCCCCACAATTTCAACTAAGTGTGAGTGAAAAGACCATTTTACCCTTAATGCAAGTTTAAGACATTTTCTTCATATTCTCTTAAAATAACTTTAAAAAAAATTAACTAAGGGCTATAAAACATAATTTAAATCATGCACCTCCATGTTGGGCGTTACAATTTTGATGCTTAGAGAAGGTGTTAGACCAAATATGTACACCTACTCTTCCATTTTGAGATCTTGTGTTTGTTTACTCAATCTTAGGCAGCTTCATTATGGAATAATTAAAGTTGGTTTGGATTCTGATGGGTTTGTTAGGAGTGCTTTGATTGATGTTTATGCCAAATGGGGTGAGTTGAAGAATGCACTGTGTGTTTTTAATGAGATGGTGACCGGAGATTTGGTTGTTTGGAACTCAATCATTGGACGGTTTTCTCAGAATAGTGATGGTGATGAGGCTTTGAATCTTTTTAAGAGAATGAAGAGGGCTGGTTTTGTGGCGGAACAGGCCACGCTAACGAGTGTTTTGAGGGCGTGTACTGGATTAGCGCTGTTAGAATTGGGGACACAAGTCCATGTTCATGTACTGAAGTATGACCAGGATTTGATACTTAACAATCTGCTTTTGGATTTGTATTACAAGTGTGGTAGCTTGGAAGATGAAAAGTTTGTTTTTGATAGGATGGTAGAGAGGGACGTGATTTCTTGGAGCACCATGATTGCAGGGTTGGCACAGAACAGATACAGTCGAAAGGCGCTGAAATTGTTTGAGTTGATGAAAGCCTCAAGGTTAGAACCAAATTATATTACAATTCTTGGTGTTCTATTTGCTTGTAGCCATGCAGAGCTTGTAGAAGATGGGTTATATTATTTCCAATCTATGAAGAAGCTTTATGGGATTGAACCAGAAGAGGAGCATTATGGCTGTGTAATTGATCTTCTTGGAAAGGTTGGGAAGCTCTATCAAGCAGTCAAGTTAATACATGAGATGGAATATGAACCAGATGCTGTGACATGGAGAGCTTTGTTGGGTGCATGCAGGCAAAACCTTACGTTTTTTTATAAGAAAGAGAAGTTTGTCAATTACTGTGCTATTCTAGTTAACACGTAACCCCAAGAACATGTGCTATTCTAGTTTGTCAATTAGTATGCTATTCTAGTTAACATGTAACATGTAACCCCAGGAACAAACCTCACTTCTTAAGGAACATTTCTCTGAACTAAATTATTTAACTTCGGCTTCTCATCTTCCACTTCCCCGGCTTTTGGATTTGTCAAGGGGGCACAAAGTGGTCTGATGTTCCTTGGTATTGCAAATGTGTTCCTCCCTTTCAGCTGAATGCTATCACTATGTTTATGAGCAGCACAATGTTGCGCTCTAGACCCCCTGAAAGTCTGATTACTACTTTGCGTTGCCATTTAACCTAAAGGAGTAAGAAAATAAAAGGTAGAAGTGGGAAACACAAACATGTAAATGTCTATAGACTGCACTGAACACAAACAAACACACACATGATCATTGCTCATAACAATTTGAATCTAAGTCGGCTATGAGCCACCAAAGAAATCGATTGCATGACTAATATATCACCTGTATTAAAGAAATGATAAATAATATGTAATTCTTCCATGATGCTACCATTTTTGGGTCATCAGATGGATATTAAATGCAGATGAACACTATATGCAATTTTGAATGAGAAATGATATAAAAATGCAATACACTTGTCAGTGTATCCTTTGGCTCTTCCATGGTGGAGTCTTTGATGTGCTGGTCATTTGGATGCTCTTCAAACTTGGGTTTTGCTTCCACTTCGTTTTCTTCAGCTAAGTTCTGTGCTTGTCCCTTTTCTTTCCCATGCAATTTGTTTGGGTTTTCGGCAATATTTTTCTGCCGCTTAGCTGGAGACTGTTCGTCAGTCATGTTCGAATCTATTTTTCTCTTTCAATTAACACTTTTCTTATGTGACTTCTCTTTCTGATCTATTAGTTCAGGAACAGATTTGGCTTCCTGCTATAACCTAAATAATTGCAGCTCTTCCAAGCGAGGTGTAACCTGAGAAAGGGAACAAAGACAAGCATCTTTACGCATTGAGTTAAAATAGCAAGGATTGCATACATTCAATAAATACTAAGCACATGTATCATAATTCAGTGACATCTTTAATATTGTTACGTAACAACTTGACTTAAACGCTTAAATTGATAGTTAAGCATCCAACTACGATACTTAAAATTTAACACAATCTCGTGTGCTGAACACCCACAATCACAACCATATATATAACATAAATACAAATACAAATTTATAATCTAAATAAGAGCCTATTTGATATAAATTTAAAATAGTGTTTTATTTTTGAAAACAAGGACTATAAGGAATTTTATGAAAGTACACTTTATTAAAATTAGTTGAATAGTTTTCAAAACAATGTTTTTGCATATAATCCTAAAAATTAGTGTAAAATTAGAAAACAAGAAAAATATCATTTCTCAGTCTTTATATAGTTTTTAACTTCAAAAACAATTTTTAATACCAGATATATTTTCAAATATTTAAAATGTTGAGATAGAGCTTTTAAAATTTTTAATTGTAACTTAGTTTTTTAAAATTATTTTTAAATCACAAACCAAACTGGCCCAAATCTCATAAAGAGATTTAAAATACAAAATATATTTTCAAATATTTAAAATTTAGAGATAAAACTTTAAAATTTTTAATTGAAACTTAGTTTTTCAAAATTATTTTTAAATTATAAACCAAACTGGCCCAAATCTCATATAGAGAGATTTAAACATAAAATCAGGAGAAAACAAATCCTGATAATCTTTTTATTTCATTCTCTTAAACTAGATTAGACTTAGATAACTCTTAAATGATCATATTCTAATCTAGAAATCCTACATTCCCCCTCGAGCCGGTGAATAGATATTTATCATTCCCAACTTGGAAACTAGATTAACAAACAACTGTCTAGGCAGTCTTTTTGAACAATTGACCTACTTCAAACTTGTTTTTCATCAAGTATACCCAACATACTCAAGTGTGATCATCAATAAACGTAATGAACCACTTAGACCCTACAATATTTGTAACTCTAGATGACCCCCAAATATCACTATGAATTATTAAAAAAGCCTAGAACTCTTATATTTATGAGCTAGATAAATAGACTTGGTGTATTTTGCAAGTTGACAAGTTTCACACTTAAAAGAAATAAACTTTTATTTCTGAATAACAATGGGTACAATTTTCATAAATAAGGAAAGCTAGGGTGTCCTAGTCTACCCATATATTAGCCTATTGGGTTTCAAAAAATACTCCACTACCTATGGTTTAAATGTGATTGCTTCATATATGCCATAATTTCATCAGAGTATCAATAACTCCAACGTTTAAAGTTAAAAAAAATAAACATCATGGATTTTTGACTAGCATGACCCCTACAGATACTGTCATATATCATTTACATATGATTTGGAAAAATTATTCAAAATGACATATTAAACCATTGTGATTCTGGTGCCCGAGTAACAGGTTGACCTATTGCAAGGCTACTCTCTAAAAATATTCTCAGCTGCAAAGCATGATTCTATATTAAGAGTTCAAAAGATCTCCATAAATTGCCCTACTTGATAAACAACATTGAACAACCTTGACTTAAGGCATTTGTCTGGTTTCAACTTCCATCAGCTACAAAAAGAGAATAAAGAAAGAAATGTTTGCATTGCAGATGACAAATACCAATTGATTAAATAAAGCTGCATCGTATAATACTAAAAGCAACAATTTTCACAAAAAAAAAAAAAAATTAGGAAAAAACCAGTTTAGAAACATTCAAATTCAAATTCTGTCCATAAATCAATCTAGTACAATAGAAAGCAAGTAATGTAAAAGAATTATACCTATGAACCTGTCCCACTAAACCTTTTACTGTAGCATCTCTTGTAGATGGACCTAGGTTGATTTAAATGTTCTAATTCAATTTCCATAGCTATATAACCTTGCAAGGCTTCCAACATTGACCTGTTGCACAGACAAATAGCAAGTTATACGAAAAAAATACAAAGATGAATCATAAATCAGTCATATTGAACTGTACAGGATAAGAAAGAGAAAAGGATGAATGGGCCAAACCAGATCTTAACCAGGCTTTCCCAAACACCTAGAGCTGCAGCCAAATTTAGCTCCAAACGAGCCCAATAAGCATACAAAAGCAACAAATCATCTATATTCTTCATCTGCTGAGATAAGTAATCTGATGCGCACTTAAAGGTAGAAACTGCACAGTTAAGTATTCAAGTATATATAATACATCCAATCATACAGAGCCTGCAATTTCGATGGTACACTAAAGAGACATCAAACTAATTGTTTATAAACACAAATATTGAAGACAGCCATTACATAACAACGATGTAGCAGTTTAAAATGACATGCTGATTTTACAAATTCACAAATCCATAAAGATATCTTCCGTGCATGCAACTCCAATGTTGACTGAGAAATGTTTTTAGCAAAGGACACTATTCCATGAGAAAACAATTAACAAAGGTAACAATCTAGCAATTAGTAAAAGCCATCTTGGAGTACCGAGAGTTATGCAGTGTAATTTCTACATAAAGTGGTCATAATGGTACTATAACAGCACACTAAATGATCATAATGGTACTATAACAGTACACTAAATGAAATAAATTAGTAGACTTTTCTTCAAAGTCTAAGGGTAGAAGCACTTGATACACATTCGTATGAGATCTATGCCTAGACCCTGAAAGAGCAGACTAGCTACAAGGTCTACATTTTCTTCATCCAAAATTCACCATGAATAGAGCATCTACAAATGTCTTAAGAAGCTTCAAGTTCTTGACATCGAATAAAAACAATTTTAACAAGGAAAATGAACAGTATACTTATGCGAACCTGAAAGGTTTCCCCTATACATGGAAAATTCAGTTCTTAATCTCTCTGTTTTACATAATCCATCAATGAGGGAATTCAAATCTGCGATGCTAACTGCAATCTTATTATTTACTAGAGCATTAAACATTACCAATGCTTCCAAAACACATCCGTTCTTCCAAAGCCCATCAATGAAAATGCTATATGTCCAAGAATTAGGAAAAGTATCGTAAAGTCACATCTCACCAACTAAATTCCGTGCATCTTTCACCTTAGCTATAAGAAAAAAGCCAGTTAACAAGGTGTTATATGTAATTACATTAGGCCTAATTCCTTCTGAAATCATCTCTCGATAAAGACTAAGAGCTTCATTGACTTCTTTATTCTTGCAATACCAATTGATTAAAATAGTGTAGTAAACAACATTAGGCCTATACCCCTTTCTAGTTATAGAATCAAACAACTCCCTTGCATCACCAATTCTATCTGCCAAGCAATAAACGTTTAAAAAAATGTTGTAAGTAAAAATGTAAAGAACCACACCTCTCTGAATCATATATTCCAACAATAGTTGTCTAGCCTTCTCAAACAATCCAGCCTTACAAAGACCATCAATTATAGTATTATAAGTAACAACATCTGGCCTACAAATAACACCAAATTCTTTATTCCCATTAACCATCTCTTCATGAAACTTAATGGCAACACTTATTTTCTCTATTTTACATAATCCACCAATCACAGTGTTGCAAGTGATCACATTAGGCCTACAACCAACAACAATCATTTTCTTAAACAATTCCATTGATTCCATAATCTTTCTCTCTACACACAAACCATTAATCAAACAAGTAAATGTCACGGTGTATGGGCTAAAACCCAACTTCATAATCGCCTTAAAAACTACATAACCATCACAAACCCTTTTAATATTACAGAAGCAATTCATCAAAATATTCAAAGATATAAAATCCGGAGACAACCCAATTGAATTCAACAGCTTGTAAAGTGAAACCACTTCATAATAATGCTTCTTCTTAGCTAGTGCACTAAACAAAGTAGTGAATGATGAAATTGGAGAAATGGGTTTCATATTAATCATGTAATAAAAAAAGTACAATGATTCATTCAGAGAAAAGCTACCTGATGACAATTTTCTTTGAGGAATTTAGCAAGTGAGGATCGTTCCAGGGATTTTTCCAAAGAATACAAAACGTCATTTTTGGAGCTTGACAACGTGAGGTTGTGTAAGTGAGCTAACAAAAATAAAACATTAACTTTTAAAGATGGGTTTTGAGAGATTGAAGACAAATGAAATAGGGATCTCAAAGCCATGTATGAAGAGTGTTTTTGAGGGTCGGTTTTGAGGTTGTGTAGCTGCATTTTTGTTGCAAAATGCAAATGCATTAAACTGATTAAAGAGAAATGTTTTGAAAAATTTCATAAACAACCTTCATGATTTCAAAAACTGGTCACTTAGCACTCTGAAGGCTAAAAATGTAAATCCACCTTCAGCCTTCAGGTGCTTTTCGGTTTGAGTTTTGAGCTGGTTTTCTACTGAATCCAAAATTATCCAGTCGATCAAACAAAACACAATCCATCAATTGGAATTTTTTTTTACCTTTTTTTATTTATAAATTATAAGATTTCAATAAATATTCCATTGAAGTTTGGATTTAATTTAGAATGATATTAAAAATATATTTTCCTTATAGTCTTATGACTTCACATGCTACGCTACTGGTATTAAATGTACTGTTATGAATGAATTTTTTTTTTTTTTTTTTTTTTTTTGTGGCATAGGAGATTAGGACACATCTCCATTGATAGGATTAAAAGGTTGGTAAATACTGGAGTTCTTGAAACTCTTGACTTTATTGACTTTGATACTTGTGTAGACTACATTAAGGGAAAGCAGACTAACAAATCCAAGAAGGGTGCTAGGAAGAGTTCTGAACTTTTGGAGATCAAACCCACATATATTTGTTGCCCTGACATGAGCTCTAGTGGTCAAAAATACTTCACCACCTTTATTGGTGATCACTTACGATATATGTATCTCTATTTACTTTATCACAAGGATGACGTGTTGGATGCTTTCAAAATATATAAAGCAGAAGTAGAGAAACAATGTGGAAAACAAATTAAGATCGTGAGATCTGATAGAGGCAGTGAATATTATGGTAGATACACTAGAACAGGACAAGCACTTGGTCCATTTGCTAAATTTCTTCAAGAGCAAGGTATTGTGGCTCAATACACGTTGCTTGGCACACCATCTCAGAATGGTGTAGCAGAATAGAGAAATAGAACATTAATGGGTATGGTGCAGAGTATGCTAAGTAACTCCAAACATCCTCATTCTTTGTGGATTCAAGCTTTCAAAACTACCGCGTATATATTAAACCGAGTTCTAACTAAGGCGGTTCCCAAAACGCCATTTGAGTTATGGAAAGGTTGGAAATCAAGTTTAAGTCATTTACACATCTTGCGTTGGCCACTTGGAGTTAGAGTTTATAATCCACAAGAACGGAAGTTAGATCCTAGGACTATTAGTGCATATTCTATTGGATATGCGAAAAAATCCAAGGGATATAAGTTTTATTGTGCGAACTATTCTAGTAGAATTGTTGAATCAAGAAATGCCAAATTTCTTGAAAATGACGTGGTCAGTGGGAGTGATCAAATTAGAGACTTAGTCCTTGAGAAAATTGATGTTTCAGCTAATGCTCCTACATCAACTAAAAGATTTGTTGTTCATCCAAACAGGGTGAACGATAAGGAACCAATCAATCAAAGTCCACATTCTGATGAGATTGTTTTAGAAGATCATTTTGAACAATCTCCGCTATAGGAGGAACAACCAGTTGTGCAATAGTCTCAACAAGAGACTGTTGATACAACATTAAGGAGATCTACTAGAACAAAGAAATCAACAATTCCTACTGATTATGTAGTGTATATGCAAGAGTCTAACTGTGACATAGGTGTTGAGGATGACTCAGACATGTTTTTACAAGTTATGGACAATAATAAATCTCAATTGTGTTATAATGTTATGATTAACGAGATGAATTCTATGATGAATTATAAAGTTTGGAACCTTGTTGAGTTGCCTACTTGAAAGAAGCCTATTGGTTGTAAATGGGTATGTAAAACCAAAAGGGATTCATTAGGCAACATTGAGAGATACAAGGATAGGTTTGTTGCCAAGGTTCATGCAAAAGGAAGGGATAGATTATAAAGAAACGTTTTCTCCAGTTTCTAAAAAGGATTCCTTCCGCATCATAATGGGATTAGTTGGCCATTTCGATTTAGATTTACATCAAATGGATGTGAAAACAGCTTTCCTCAATGGAAATTTGGAGGAAGAGGTTTATATGGAACAACCTAATGGGTTCATTTCGAGTGATGGTGAGCATTTGTTTTGCAAGCTTAAGAAGTCCATTTATGGACTTAAACAAGCCTCCCAATAGTGGTATTTAAGATTTCACACTATTATCTCTTCATTTGATTTTGTAGAGAATGTCATAGATCAGTGTATATACCACAAGGTAAGTGGGAGTAAAATCATCTTTCTTGTGTTATATGTAGATGATATTCTACTTGCAACCAATGATTTGGGTTTGCTGCATGAGGTGAAACAATTTCTCTCTCAACATTTTAGTATAAAGGATAGAGATGAGGCGTCTTATGTCATTGGCATTAAGATTCATAGGGATAGGTCTCTACATGTTTTGAGACTATCTCAAGAAGCCTATATTCCGGGAATCAACACAGAATTCACTGGCTATGTTGATTCCTGGAAATCAAGCATCTGGATATGTTTTTATGGTAGTCGGAGGTGCTATATCTTGGAGAAGTGCCAAACAATCTTTGGTTGCCACTTCTACCATGGGAGCTAACTTTGTTTCCCATTTTGAGGCCACTACACAGGGTATTTGGTTGAGAAGTTTCATTTCTGGGCTTGGAGTTGTTGGGTCTATCTTTAGGCCAATAAGGTTGTATTGTGACAATTCAGCTGCTATATTCTTTGCTAAGAATAATAGGGGTGGAAGTCGAAGTAAACACATCGACATTAAGTACTTAGCAATAAGGGAGCATATTAAAGCCAAAGAACTGCTTATTGAACACATACATACCAAGTAGATAATTGCTGATCCTCTAACAAAAGGCATGCCACCAAAGACGTTCAAGGATCATGTAGTTCAAATAAGACTACATCCCGCTTTGTCACTATGAGAGATAATACTTTCATTCTCTGAAACTTTGTAATTTAGTTTGTCTTCTCTTTTAAGTTGTATACATTTTGGTTGGAGACAAACAATCATTCTGGAGGACCTGGAACAAACATTTGAGGTTTGTT